CTGAAAAGGTCAGCACTAACACTTTCGAATGGCAAAGTGGGCTTGCGGTCAGAAATGGGCGGTTCGGCAGACTGAGACGGCTGAAATTCACGGCATGCATCACAGCTGCGGACTAGCGTGTCTAACTCACTGTTCATTCCGGGCCAATACACTGTCTGACGAGCACGTCGTTTGGTACGGGTCAGACCTTGGTGGGCTGCGTGAAGGTCGATCAGCGTTGACGCACGCAGAGAGGCTGGGACGACTATGCGTAGACCTTTCAGGACTATGCCATTGTCGGTGGACAAATGTTCACGCACGTTCCAATACGCACGAAGAGGCTCGGGCAGCTGCTTTTGTGCTGAGGGAAATCCGTTCTGGATATACCCGAGTAGCATCTGGTAGTCAGGATCAGATGCTGCTGCGGCACGGAGCTTAGCGAACTGGAGACTCTGGGGACCACCTTGGAGTAGACAGATACGGATACTGCGGCAGGACAGTGCTGGATCTTCTCCAAGTTCATCATCACTAGTCGGGATTGATACAGGATGTCGTGAGAGGGCGTCTGCGAATACGTGCTCTGAACCCTTACGCCACGATGCTTTCACTTGATACGGACGAAGTTTCATGATCAATCGGAGTAGACGAGAGTTCTCAATCTGGTCAAGGGTGTAGCTGTTGATAATCGGAACAAGCGGACGATGGTCGGTGATTAGTGAGAACTGTGCACCAGATAGATACAAGCGGCACTTGTGCACTGCCCAGACGACTGCGAGGCACTCGAGCTCGATTACAGCGTACCTTGTTTCAGCGTCAGATAAGAAACGACTTCCACACTGGATGAGGTGCCATTGCTGGTCATCATGCTGTTGCCATAGGGCAAATCCGAGGCCATTCTTCACAGATGCATCAGTCTCGAGACGGAGAGGCTTGCCAGGCTGGAAGAAAGCTAACACTGGTGACTCAGTCAGGATGGCTTTGACGGCTTCGAATGCTATGGTGTGCTGCTGATCCCAGGCGAACTCACTGCTGGTTTTCAGGAGTGGGCGAAGCGGCTCACTTAGTTCAGCAATGCGCGGTGTGAAGTCGCTGCATTGGTTGACCAAACCGAAGAACGAGCGGAGGTCAGTGCGGTTGCAGGGCACTTCGAACTGGCGAATGGCAGATGTCTTGCTACCATCAACGGCATAACCATCAGCATTGATGACGAATCCGCAGAACTGTACTTCACTAGCGCCGAATACAAACTTGTGTGGGCTGAGCGTAATGTGATGCTCACGGGCACGGTGAAGGACGTCACGAACGTGGGTGACGTGGTCTTGAAAATCGACGTCATGTACTAGGCCGTCATCAACGACTTTGACGAAGTTAGCGAGGCGGTCAAATGCTGCGTCTGTGCGGCAGTTGAATTCGTCACCTGCTGAGGACAGACCTTGAGGGTTGCGGCAATAGCGATACCGACCCCAGGGCGTGATGAATGTCGTGAGCGGCTTCGAGTCGTCGGACAGGGGTATTTGCCAGTACCCATGACGAGCGTCGAGTGTGGTGAAGAAACGGGCTTTACCAATAGCTGTCACGGCGTCACGCGGAGTACGAGCTGGGTGTGTTGGTCGGCAGACTTGGTCGTTGAGTTTACGCAAATCAACGGTGAGGCGCTTCTCGTTAGAAGACTTCTTATCTGCGATGACGATCGGGTGGCACCAGTCTGACGGTTCAGTGACTGGCTCAATAATTCCATTGATCACCATATCGTCCAGTTGAGATTTTATCTGGTCTCGGAATGCGAATGGGATTGCGCGGGCACCATTAACACGAGTTGGTGTGGCGTCAGATTGAAGCTTTATCTCCATGGGAGGACCAGCCATGGGCTTCAATTGGGAGTCGTCGAATACATCAGCAAACTCTTGCATCAGCTGAGCCTTAACATCAGCAATTTCTGCACTACTGGGTTCGGACTTCACACGGGAGATCCGCGGCCAGGACTCAGGCAGAATGCCAAGAGCACGGAGAGATTGGCATGACAGCAACGCCTCATCGAGGTCTTCATATACATGAAGTACCGTGGTGTGCTGGGCTGAGCCAATGGAGAGCGTGGCAGAAATCTTTCCCAGGCTAACCAGAGAGGTGCCGTTTGCTGCTGAAACAGTGTCGGAATCGACGGCAAGGTTCTCAGGGAAGCCACCTAGCTGGGAAAGATGTGCTGGCCCAATGGCGTCTACATCACTGCCGGTGTCTGGAATCCATGTCATGGCTTCGGCGGTCGGTTCTGTGTTGAGCTGCGTGTGGACACTGAGTTCTAGACCATGTCGAACAGAGGCACGTTGCAACTTAAGTTGGCCGACTTTGCCGGATGCTGTTGATTTGCCTTTGTGCGGGCACATGGACTGGAAATGTCCGACACGTTGGCATCCGTTACATTTGCGTGACTTCGCAGGACATGTGCCTTTGGTGTGGGGACTGCGACCACAGCTGGGACACTTGTCACCTGCGGGCTTGTCTGGTGTAGACTTCACGGGTGCGGGCCGGCTCGCCTTCTGCTGTTTATAAGATGATTTCTTAGCTGCGTGCACGTGACCACTGGAGGGAATGCCAGAGGAAGTTTGGCAGGCTGCTTCCTCAGCACGGCAGAGCTTCACGGTTGCCTCCAGATCCAAGTTCTGGAGGGCCAGCAGCTTGTGACGCACGTCGTCCTCAAATACGCCTGTCACAATGCGGTCACGTAGTATGTCGTTGTTGAATTTCAACAGGCCTGCCTTGCAGGGGTTGCACATCGCCTGGTTGCAGTTATGACATACTGAACACCCAGAAAAGTCACACGCGTGAAACAGTTCACGGAGGGCCGTATAAAAGGAGTCAAATGATTCCCCACGCTGCTGCCGTCTCTTGTAAAATTCGATTCGGTCGAGCAGCGGGTTCCTCTGCCGCCGGATGTACTGCTGGAGGACCGGGATGGCATCAGCAATGTCAGCGTTTTCGGGGAAGGCGATAATGCCTTCTCGGATGAAACGGCGCAGGTCCTCATCTAGGGCCTGGCGGAACGCTGACATACGTGTATGGCGGTCGTGGCTGGCGAGACATTGGCATTGCGCATAGTCACGCCAGGCCTCCTCCCAAGCGGTAAATTCTGCCATTGTGGCAGTAGATAACAATACTGGTCGTTCTGCGGACACAGACTTGGGTGCGGGTGGGGTTGTAGAACTAGTACTGGTCTGGTTGGACATCCTTTCCATCAGGGTCTGAAACTGTTGATCTCGCAGTGCAGACGCCTGTGCCTGAGTTGTCAGGAGCTGCAGGAGCGTGGCGACGTCAGGCACTCCATTACCAGAAGGTGCTGCGGGATCGCTGCTCGCCATGCTGATCACAAATGCTCGTTGTGACAGCTCACACGACTACGTCCTACGAAATAAATTGAACAACACTCCTATCTAAAACGAACTAACAAACTAACTGCAGGGTAATCTAATCCAAATCCAACGGAGTGCTACACTGCTACTCGGCCAGGTAAGACACTACAAACTAGGTTGGTGTGGACAGAATGGAAACTACAGGACGAAATGTTCACTGCGCCATGTGGTGTCAGATAGAGTTTATTCACAACTAGCAAGGAGGACAACAAACGAAGAACAACATTCCAAGCAGTGTGCGAACACAAAAGGGAAGTGTGTACGAACACCAAGGAAAGTGTGTACCAGCGCATATGGAAGCAGGAGCTCTAGGCGGGTGCATACGGGGTGCGGGAGTTGCACCATATACGGAAGTATGCCATATACATCAAGCCTTGAATCGGCTTAATGGGAATATCTAATCCATTTTTTTAAATATTTTTACGGGATAGATATGTTGAAATTCATTCGCAATCCAGTGCTGAAACTTGTCGATGTAGATAATTATTATGAATTTCAGTGCTGTATTTGTCGATCGGGATATTTCCGAATTTTTGTCCTATATTTAGCGCTAAAGTAAGCGCTGAAATTCGCACGAATTCGAATTTTTGGATGGGATATTTCCAAATTTTGTAATTTCTTCCTTTATTTAGCGCTGAAATTTGCGCTAAAGTAAGCGCTGAATTTGTCGATGAGGAGATTTCCAAATTTTGTCAAAGGTGAAGTGTAATTTCTTCCTTTTTTAGCACCAAAGTAAGCGCTTAAGTAATTTCAGCGCTGAATTTGTCGATGGGGATATTTCCAAATTTCGTCAATGGTGAAATGTACTTTCTTCCTTTTTTTAGCGCCAAAGCAAGCGCTGAAATTTGCGCGAATTTCAGCGCTGAAATTTGCGCGAATTTCAGCGCTGAAATTTGCGCGAATTTCAGCGCTGAAATTCACGGCAAATTGTTGGGAAGAATATTTTTTCCGTTTCAGAAACTGGCACCAAATTCAGCGCTGAATTTTTCCTATTTACATTTTGAAACAAAATAATTTATTAGTCCAGCAATAAAAGCAACGCTGAAATTGATGCTTTATCCAGTGTCAAGAAAGTGCTAAATGTCGGGTTGAAGTCACTTAACTAAACTATGCGCAATGCCAGTACCCTGGACGCATTTAAATCTGCTCCCTAGATTCACCATCACCTGTCCTTCCCATGCTTCTCCGTCTTGACCATTACTTTTCTTCTTTTATTCACCATGGTTGGTTAACACCCACATCTCCCGTACTGGCTGATTTTCTTCTCATGCCATGAGGTGTTGTCTATAATAATAATAATAATAGATGCTGTAGTCCACTCTTCTGAGCTTATTTTCGCACTGATCTACATTGTAATTCTTCCCTCAACATGCATCCATGCCGAGGAAACGGCAATGACATGAGGGGATCAAATGGTGCATATTTAGGATTATGTTTTATACTCGCTTCAGTGTCATGTCCTTATTTGTTTTTCGTGTTGATATTTTTTGACTTGTTCCAAGCGCAAGATGAAGCAGTAGCCGCATTGACATCTTTCGAGCGATACCATGTCAATATCTATCTGCACCAATAACATCCAACAATAGGCCAATGGTGGACAGAATGACCACCGGGTAGTAAAGGCAAATTTCCTTTTGATAGAAAATCAATGAGAGAGAGAGAGAGAGATTGATAGAGAGAAATTCAACAGAGATACATGTAGAAGTAGATTGCTTGCAAAGCTTTAAAGTGTATATTGGCCCAATGGTTTATCCCGAAAAGTGTCGAAAGCATAGCCGGGAATTGAAAACGTAGAATTAAAAAAACTAACGTCACATTGTGTATGATAGCTAATGGAAAGTAGAAAAGCATCTAGTCAGCAGTCGGAACATGAATGCTTGACTAGACATGGCTTTGCTTTAAAGATAATGGTGACGTATACGACTCACCTCATGGCTGTATTGCACTCTCAGTGCATGGGCTTCTGCAACTGAGTGTTACTCATCCACGCAGCCAATAAAGCAGCAGAATGGAATCAAATGATGAGCTGTTCTAGAGTTGTCATTTTTATATTTTTTTACAAAGTCCACATATCTCCAGACACTGGGATGAATAATGGAGTGTGGTGGTAGTCCTACTTTCATAGCGATATCAGCTGCTTGTGGAAAGCATGTTAGGATTGATTTGGCTCTGCTTCGTCTAGTCAACACAGGTGTAGATTTACTTCCCAGTAGTCTTCAGCTTGGAGGAACAGCGACATGCCATCCTCACCTTGATCATTAGCCAGCATTCTGAAATTATTCCCCTCGTGATGACATTGGCTGTAGGATAAAACCAAGTCAATGCACACAAGACATTCTGGGCAGGTGTATGCTTGGACAGATGGAGCCTGATCAAGCATACTCTGCTGTTATTGTATATAGATGGCGTGATTTCCATTGATTGGTACTGCCACTATCCTTCCACACTGAATAATAGAGATTGCGCAAGGGTCCCCCTTGCACCTACGGCGCTTCAATACAGAAGCGCCCGCTTTAGTACCTGCAATTTTTGGCGGTGGGGTTCATGTGGATGTGAAAGAGCTTGGCCTCTAGCCAAGTCTCACGCGAACCCCGGTTTATTTGACAATTTTTTTTATTTCCGAAGCCTATGCCGCAGTGCAAGTGGAGCACGAGGCAAGCCCAGATTATTTTGTCACGAAATATAGGCATCTACCACTAGAATTGTAAATTTGATCGTTTTAGTATAAACCTCATATGTAGTATAAGACTCATATGTAGAGGAGACGATTTCACATAGGAAATAGTGCAGTAGGTTGCAAACCGAAAGGGCTCAGTATTCACTTTCTCTCTTGTCATTTTGATTAGAAAACGTATGTCACAGCGGGACTACGATGTGTTTTACTCTGAGCCAAATTATCATTTTCATGGTTCTCCGACGACCAGAAGCGCTACACCAAGCAGGCGAGTCCTTGACGTGTCGCTTCGCACTACGACTTGAGTTTTACGTCTTGCGATTTATAAACTTCTTGTCACTGGTAAACAGCGGCTCACCTCTCGCCAATAGTAGTAGTAGATTATCGTATCCGTTCCCGAAAGGAACTCACGACGGCCGCTAACACCCGATAAACCCTAGCGGCAGATGCAGCGCCTAACGGTGGGGGTGAGTGGGTAAGCCTCACAAAAGCACCGTATACCAATGAAAACTAATGCACGCACACACGAGGCTTATAGTTGCTCTGTACTGGCCATTGTGGAGTGATAACAAATACTTAATTTCAGAACTCAGAGTGAACTTGTCGTGCACTCCAAAACCTTTCCGGTTTTTTTTTCCACTGTGGCATCAGAGCAAACTTCAAAATGCCAGTTTCCTTCTACAAACATTTCCAGTGAACAATGCACGCTGATGAGCGGTTTGGGTCTACACAAGTTTCCTGTCAAACCGTTCCTATTTGAAACTGCCCCTCTAAAATCAGTTGTTATTATTATAACCTGACCTGTTAACCCATACATCTTCAGAACACTCTCCAAACGGTCTCTGGGCTACACCAAATCACCAAACACAAAAAAAAGATAATTGTAGAAGGAAAAGGACATATGGATACGAGCGGTCACGTGCTCCTGGGTGCCCAAATCACCTGCTCTCCACGCAAGCAGGCGACAACTTTCACACCAAGGTTCAACTCGAATTCAACTCGAGTGACAGGACTGCACCCAAAAAAAGTCAAACAGGCTAGTAAGTTGTACCCTGCAGGCACGGTGACCAGGTGACTGGTGTACGCAGGAGCACGTGACCGCTTCTTCAACCATGTTCGATTGGGAATAAAGGAGGAACGCTGCATCGCAGCCTTTTTGGACCAAAACCAATCGACTCAGCGTCCAAAAGACTACAACATATGAGCCAATCACGGTCATCCATGCTTTTATAAGAACGAAATGGCGCTTTTAGTGACATTTTGCATACAAATCCCCATCTAGTAGGGCGCAGTCATCCAGTTTCGGTGGAAGTCCGCGAGTTCGATTGGGATTCAAGTAGGAAGGGAGCGTCTCAGCTTCCTCGGACCACGACCATTCGACTCAGCACCCCGAAGACTACAACTGGTGAAATTTTAATTTTTGCCTCAACTTCCCTTTTAAGAGTAACTCTCCATCACTGTAACTGGATACTATAATGATACAGTCAGAAAGTGCAATAACTAGGCACAAAACTGAAAACAGTACTGAGACATTCGACGTCCTGACACCTAGCTTCAACAGATCTCCGTAGCGCTAACCGACAGCCTTCCAACTTGGAAGGTTCAAGGTTATGAAAAGACCAAAGAGGGTATCCGGATACAGTGGTGGAGAGTTACTCTTAACTCGTATCCATATTTCCTTATCCTTTCTACATTTATTTATGGCTCAACATCCGAGTTTCAAACAGATAATTATTGGAATTTTCCTGCAAATTAACGTTATTAAAAGGCATATCCTAGAGATGGGCCTTAGAGATGGGCTTTCTAATGATTTTCTCATTTTTCTTTCTTTAAGGGATTGATGTAGCCCAGAGACCGTTTGGAGAGTGTCGTGAAGATGTATAGGTATAGTGGATGGCTACAGTGAAGTAATTGCACTGCGAGAAATGTGGACCTGTTTTAAAACAGTCATAAAGACCCATCCACTAACGGCGTTTATGTACTAACCGGACTCGTTATAATGTGAGAGAACCCTTACTGCGAAAGGCTAGTCATGTGGGCGGTCTGGCAAAGCATGTTCAAAACCGTGTTAGTACACTCTCTCCAGTAATTCACCCAGTATAAAGACGGTCAGAACCGGGTATAGCACACATGCGGTGCGGAAGGTTGCCAGACTGGGGCTCTACCAACCTTGGATGATTGTAGTAAGGGCCACTGTTTCTGAACACGGTGGTCCATCACCTTGTAATATGCTTTCAAACCAAAACATGTTTGTACAATACAAGGTCTATCCAATAACATACACTGTCTGCCAGACAGTGTTTGGCTAGGATTTCACCAACCACATCCCACTGTTAACTACACATTGATTGAGCGGACGTAGAGACTATAGAACAAAAGGGGTCCCATGCCTATCCAATAATTCCTCAATCTGCGGACAGACCTGAACAAGAATTATCAATCAGATTTTGTTCAGAATTTTGACTGACCCTGCTGCGCCTTGACGAAGTGCATTGACCTGGTTGTAGAGTAAACGCTTGAGGGTTCTTTAAATGAAATTTCAGAATATTTTTCAACTGCATGTACTAGGTTTTGAGGGCCGGTGAAGCATTCAAACTTGAGGGGAAATTGAAGGGAAAGAAGAGTCGAAAGTCAGGGCAGCGGTTCTGCTTTTCACATTTCAAAAGCTTTTCTGTCATTCACCGAAGAAGTCGCAAAAAGACTCTAAGGCTGTTTTCCGTGTACCTTTCCCAAGAACTCGACATCCCACAGACTTTTAATTGCATCAATAAATATCCCTCCATTGACGGCCGGGAAACATTTCGAAATTCAAAACGCATACCTCTACTTTTACCCACAAATTCTTTGTTATTTCATGCTCCAGGAGCATGCGAGGGGTGAACATAGTTGAGAATACACACAGCGACAGAGAAGTATAATGTGTTTGCGTGGTGGCCAGCAGGCCAGGACAATGAAACAGAAGTCTTGCACACCAACAACTGAAAAAATCATGTTCCTCATCCTTACCTGCTTTCTCCGGGTGGCTGCCGAATTTCAGCGAGGTGTTCCGTTCCTAATTGAAGCTCTTCCTTTAGAGAATAGTGCACTGCAAAGTCTCACAAAACTAGGACACATCATTCACTCACTGCGCCCTGTTGCTCCCTTCGTGAGGAGCCAGTGGCCGAAGAACTACATTTCAACAACAGGACTGAAGTAGGCTACCTACAAATATAATAATTTCTATTTTCTTCTACATGAAAGGCGGCAAAGTACAAGATTCGTGATCCTACTCTGGCAGGCGCTGGGGAGAAATGACTAGTCAGACTCGGTTGCTGGCATGGAAAGGGCGGACGGATGTGTGAAGCAACGGCGTTGAACGCGTGGGTGTTTGCATGCTGAGAAGCGACCATCGCGTGATTCACACGGCATGTCACAGACTACACAGGAACAGTCTGTGTCGTTTTCGCTATCTTGCATCAACATTCAGGTGCAAGTGTCTCTGCTGTCATAACCGTTTCTCGCTCGCATATTCATCGCCAAACCTCGAACTATGAGCCTCAGTAGTGTTTGACTTCAGGACTGTAACTTTTTGACAGTTGGACACGATGTTAAATGTCTACCCTGCCGAGCATCCCAGGCCACGCCACCACTCCCCTTATTCATGGCTCACACATGACGGGTTTACGTGGCTCTAGTAAAAAAACAAAAAAACAAATAAAACTAGTATAATTGTCATGTCAACTGTGTCATTTTGTGGATCTTGTTTCACAGTACCGACACGTGGGACTAGGCACAGTGGTTTGAACCGAGTTGCCACCCACCCGGTATGGGCATGCAATAGAGATCATGTCTCTTCTGCTTTCAAAGAAAATCTACCAATGGATTTGGATAAACGTACACGTATACAGTGCAAAGAACAAAGTTCTGACTTCGCTATTCTATCAAAAATATGGGAATCAGAATTGCCCGAGTACGATATGCACGATTTATGTAGACATGTTTATCAGTTGCATTAAGTTTTGTTATTATTACAAGACTAAAGAGGGTAAATGGGCTGAAGTATGCAAAATGAGAGTGCATAACGGTCTGGCCAGGTCATGGTCCAAAACCTTATAGATAGGAAAAAATTATGAAAACTCAAGACACAGAAAAGATTTTACTCCCGGCTATATTTCTTTAGATATCAACAAGAACAAGAGCAACAATTTAATGATCATCATAGCCTAGGAGCTGTGGCATCATGCAAGACCACAGCCAGAACGCAGCCAAGCCTGTGTCTATGGTGAAGTAGAATAGAGTAACTAATGTTCGCTCATAGAAAAGTTTTGTTTTTTCACGGCTGAGCGTATAGCGAAAGAGTGCAAAAAACGTATTTTTCACTCACAAATATTTTCGTGCATTTGCTCTTGTTCTGCGCAACTCCGTTGAACCTGCCATCGTGGTCTTTGTTTTTCCTCGTGGTAGTTGAAGTTTTCAAGTGCTCCAGTTTTTAGTTTCCACTCGCAGCCACACAACACCACAACTCATCTTATTATTTTTTCAGAGTAGATCTACAGTGTAATAGTCCAGGAGAAAGAAACGACAGTGCCGTGCACCGTCTATAATGAATCGGTCCAGCCTACAAAAGGTCCACATCGCCTGGTTGGGCCTGCAAAGTGATGTACCAGTAACCACCTGACGTTTTTGGGAGCTGCAGATCGATCTGCGAAAGGCGGAAACAGCTAAAACGAGCTGAGCGTAATCCGCCACACCCAAGCAAGTTTGGTACCAGGCGGAGCAGAGTCACCGTTGACAGCTACACAAATCAGGGCGTTTCGGACGACCAGCAAAGATTGTGGAAGTAAAATTTAGTTGACAAAACAATTGGTCACTCAGTTCCGACATGTCGAGTCGACACCTACCTGTACCGCAACCATACTCTTCAAAGCTTCAGCGAGTCCTTGAGAGTTTTCCGTGGGCGCAGTGATGAGATCGAGAGTCTACGGAGTCGGTGATGAGCGCTGTCGATCACAACATCGTGTCCCAAATGGTGGCGAAGCTCAGGGCAGAGGTGACACCGCAGTCATACTGAAGTAGTTGTCTGATATCGTGGCGCAGGGCAGCAAGGTCGTAGCTGTCTGTTGACAACACCAACCGGAGTTCAATGGGACAGCCAGCCAGTTTTCGGACCGCACATGGACCGGAGAGAAAAGATAAGTATCAGTACTTGAGACTGTGGATGTTTTTTCGATAATTTAAGAAGTACATAATCATGTAGTTGACACGATCGAAAGGGGTGTACATGCCGTCGTATTCAAGGGAGCAAACAAACGCCCAGCCCGTACCGCTCTAGGCCCTACACAGGGTGCATGATCAATGTCACGGGACCATCAGAATGTTATGGATGTGCAGAGCGATGTACATGACTGTATCGTGTTTGTAGAGGCAACCATGAACAACAAGAGTAGTTAGTTTGTCAGTCTGAGTACAAAAATCGGGCAACAATGGCATGGCAGTAAATGTTGTCCAAGTCAAACATCGTGCAAAATGCTAGTAGATTTCCGGCCAGGTGTAATCGGGGTGTAACAGATTTCGACGTCCGCAGCCATCGGACACACAAGGGGGGACAATTGGCCGGCAGGACGAGACAAATGTTTGTTTGTTTTTTCACGGGTGGGGCCCACCAGACATGGTACCGGAAGAAATTCACGCAAAAGTTGACTGCTTGCTGACTTCAAACTTGTGTTCCCGAGGTGCCCATCCACCTCACTCACGTCAGATATTAGTAGTATTATTCACACATTTCTACCGAATGAGTACGCGGCTAAGCAGTACAGGGAGCCAGCATATGTTCTCTCAGCATAAAAGCAAGCAAAGAATAAGGAGTACATGGGCAATGGAAACAGTTCCAAAGTACAGCCTGGGATTGTATGAGTGCAAACAAGTACGACAATAGTCATGGGCTATTGCAGCAAGCGACAACAACACAACAGATAATGGGACAGCAACCGCAGGGGGGCATGCGATGTTGACCAGGGGTGGGAAGCAATACTGTCCAGGTTTCCTTCGTCCAGAGAGTAAGACTAGGTTCCCGAACACGCTCAATATCAGTGTACGTTCATACGGAGCGATAACTAAAGCGGCAGGTAGCGCGTAATCCTCACTTGGTCGCTGCAGTCTGCAATGTGCGAGGTGAGGTAACATGATGGCACACTGCACAACTCCACTGTTGTAACGCCAAACCAATTCATAAAAGTTAAGCCACCACTTTGATTGTGTAAGGTGTGCGAGACACCCCAGTCAGCTGCCAGGCCAAGTCAACTGGTTAAAGCTTTACGTATCTTGATCTCGCTTGTGCATGCCGTCCTTATGTTTTCGGTGTTGAATCTTAATGAAGTATTTCTATATGTTTTCCTCTTGCTGTCCTTTCAGTACCAAGCCAGTACCTAGGCCGTGGAACAGACACCGGATCACCCACGACTGGACATGATGCAAGCGATTGGGAACGGCCTTGTGTGGTATATAAATGGGTAACCCGGCTTGCCATTATTTAGTGTGTATGTGAGTGATGACGGAGTGAGTAAGAAGCCCGATGGGCAGTGATGACACATGATTGCGTAGGGCTTGATGCCATACTCACGGAGAAGCCCAATGGGCAGTGAGGACACAAGATTGTGTATGGCTTGATGCCACAATGAGGGAGAAGCCCGATGGGCCGTGATGGCACATGAATGTGTATGGCTAGATGCCATGATGAGGGGGAGGGAGAAGCCCGATGGGCAGTGATGAGTATGGCTTGGTGCCATGATGAGGGAGAAGCCCGATGGGCAGTGATGACACATGGTTGTGTATGGCTTGATGCCATGATGAGGGAGAAGCCTGATGGGCAGTGATGGCACATGGTTGTGTATGGCTTGACGCCATGATGAGAGAGAAGCCCGATGGTCAGTGATGACACATGGTGGTGTATGACTTGATGAACGATCATGTGGTTATGAATGATTACAGACATGTTGAAACCGAGAGAGAGAGAGTGAGAGTTACATAGAGGTACGAGGGTTTTTTATGTCTCGGTACCGGCTTTTCACCCCGTTTTTTGTCGGGGCACGCGGAGGAGTGTACGTGCATGGGCAGTACGTGTGTGTACAGTACATGTGGGTACAGTGTGTGTGTGTGTACAGTGAATGTGTGTGTGTATAGTACGTGTGTGTACAGTGAGTGTGTGTGTCTACAGTGAATGTGCGTAAGGGTGCATGAGTGTGCAGTAAGTGTGTGAGGGGCGGACGTGTGCATTCGATACAGGATTCCTTCTCTTGCAGGAACTGAACGGACGTCCAGCCCAATCACGGAAGTAGAGCACCTCACATTGAATTTACTGGCAGTACTACTCCATGATGTAGCACTCGCAACCTAGCAGGGGAACTTTCGGGCATTTCGCAGAGATATTGTCTGCTCGGAGTGCACTGCTGATCATGTTATCCTGGCTGATGTGTGCTCGCCCGGTTGCCACCGGACCCAACCTGGCCTACTAGTGAGCATCCCAGGGCAAGTCTGGCCGGGTCTCCATAATGTTCATAGTAACTATACACTTGGCCACAGATGGTGGTCACAGTGCCCAAGACTTTGGCACACTGACGCCATGCGCCACACTGCTCGTTTTCCTTGTCCAAATCTATGTGTGCTGCTCTCCTATCGGCCTCACTATCCTTTACATCGTGAGTGTGATTGCTCTGGTAGACCACTACCCCATGTACTGAACAGTCGCTTTGTGAGTGAAAAGTTTTGTTTTTTCACGGCTGAGCGTAGCGAAAGAGTGCAAAAAACGTATTTTTCACTCACAAATATTTTCGTGCATTTGCTCTTGTTCTGCGCAACTCCGTTGAACCTGCCATCGTGGTCTTTGTTTTTCCTCGTGGTAGTTGAAGTTGCCCGCCCACCCACCCTGGTTTCATGGGAGTCGTCCGCTGTTCTTCTTGACAATCTATGCCTATGTGTGTGGCTTATGATTATGACATACACCGGTTATTACATACCATTTCTTGCTATCTCTATTCTTGGGTCTGACTGGCAGCGGGGCAGGAATTAATGAAATAGAAAGGTGTTTTGGCCGAAAGGCGTGTTTTTCCTCTAGCCCGGTTGAGCGGTCGCGGCTAGGAATGTAGGGAGTCATTGTTTTTCAGGCGCTCCCCTGCTGCCCAGTCACCCATGCTCACCACTGGCCATGCTGTTTCACTTGATTTCACGGCCTTTTTCTCCCGCTTGCTGGCGGTTCTTTGATGGATTTAGATGTTTTTCGGCTATTTATCTATTCT